TAATGTCTTTGTACTGAGGATCACTATTTGGCCAAAACCACACAATATCGTGATGCACAGTGCTTGGATAAACGGCCACACATGCTTTCTTAAATGTGTGAACCTGCGAATAACATGAAAATGACAACTAGTTACAACAATTTGCTCCAAAATATAATAGTTCCAATGCTTTTGTTAGAAGAGATAAAATAGGGAGAACATTAAATCTTAACTGACCACCACCAAGCTCTTCAAAGGAGAAATTCATAGCTTACCTTCAGTTCCATACCATTTTATGCCATGTTTAACTCATTTACAAGCAACAGGTATGCCTAGGCACACAGACTGCACCACTACTCTCATTAAATGATTAAATCCTTTATCGGATAGAAAATGCCTGAAGAAGCACAGAATAAGCCAGTCCCCTCTTCCGGGGGAAAGACGAAAAATTTCTTAACAGATGTTCCCCAAAAAATACCAAGCTGAGACACTATCAGCTCCCGAAAAACAGAGATTTTAACTTACAATACATTCTCACGACGTAACTTACAATTGGCATCAGAAATATTTAGTGTTGTTGCTCATTGACGTGATTTAAACATGCTTCATGAGACATTTTACTTCCTCTACCTAATGTTTGATGAGTTTTACATGGCAAAAGAGCCACATTTATTTATCCAGGACATAGACCACTATGCCAATGCCTTCAGGACCACATTACTCATTTCTTGCCATATTTAGTGTTGTTGCTCATTGAAGTGATTTAAACATGCTTCATGTGACATTTTACTTCCTCTACCTAATGTTTGATGCCTTTTACATGGCAAAAGAGCCACATTTATTTATCCAGGACATAGACCACTATGCCAATGCCTTCGGGACCACATTACTCATTTCTTGCCATATTTAGTGTTGTTGCTCATTGACGTGATTTAAACATGCTTCATGAGACATTTTACTTCCTCTACCTAATGTTTGATGCCTTTTACATGGCAAAAGAGCCACATTTATTTATCCACGACATAGACCACTATGCCAATGCCTTCAGGACCACATTACTCATTTCTTGCCCTATTCCACATGCAAATGCAAGAGCGTTCCTTTTTCCTTCCGAATTGCTCGTGAGAGTGGATTTTTATTGTCTTTCACCATTCTGAATTATGTAATTTAAAAAGCACATGATTTTGTCAAGGAATACTTCGTCATTGGAAAAGGTTGAGATTCTCAGTTGAAGGAAGCCACTCTAATATTGCGTTGGACATTCAACACAAGATTCCAATAAGCGAAGTAATCTTAAACATTTAACGTCGAAATCATAACTGAAACGATTGAATGATAAACCATTTGCTATACAGTTCGGATTAGTACTATCAGCAGCCAGAGAGTCATGGACATCAGTCAACGGAACTGGAAGCTACTGATATCGATATCCCTGTGCGAATCCAATGGAAGTTCGTAACTCCATCTCGCTTAGGGGGACTTTATCATCCAAAAACATTTTAAAAAGAACAACAGAACAGATAAAAAGTGAAAGCCGCACTACTCATCGGGTCCGCAAGCAATAGATAAAAATACTAATCTCCTCAGCGGTAATCAATTACAAATCTATCTAATGAATGAGTTTTCCCTACTAAAATGCGATAAAAACACGACAAAAAGCTTCGAGATGACACTCAAAAGTCCAGAAGTGCGAAACACAAGAAAGGAACGAAAGTTGCCGGAGGACCGTCAGGAGGCGCTTGAGGAATGAACTTGCAGTCCCCGGATCCACCGACGCACCACCCGTGGTACACGCACTGCAACCTCCCCCACTGATCGATCCTCCCCTCGGACAGCGGCGCCAAGCGGTGGGGACAGCTATCATCGAACACCTGCCAGGCCCCCTCGTTCCTGTCCCACCACACCACCACGTCCAGGCCCATCACCTTCTTCGCGTGCGGCCTCCTCTTGTCGAGGTCGCAGACCGCCATCACCGGGTACCACTGCGAGTACCAGTCGAACTTCTCCCCCGCCGCATCGCCCCGAGCCTCGGGCTCCACCGGAGTCGTCGCCGCCGGTTCTTCCGAAACAGGGGAGGACGAACTCGCCGCGCAGAGCTTGGGGCTTGCGATTCGTCTCGGCCGAAGGATTGGCGATCTGGGTCTGATGAAGAGGCTCTTGGGATGCGCTTCTTTGATGCTGACGGAGGGCAGGGAGGAAGCTACGAGAGCTTCCATTGCGGGTTCTTCCTGGGTTCTCTCGCAGAGCTCCGAACAGAGAGACTAGAGAAGGAGACAGAGGATGTGATGACCGTCGATTCTGTGAGTAAAAGAATCGCGAAGAGTGGTAGTCGAGGCCATAAATTCGTTTCGCAGCGGTAGCTGTAGTTGACGAAGAATGAACTTGTGGAAGAGGGAGCGATGCTCTGTCCCTTTCTTCGCCGGAGAAGTGAAGAAATTATACGACAGGGTCGTTAATGACGTTAAGAACCCGCCGCGTCACTTATGTTGCGGTGGGGCCCACATGACCTACGGCTATAATGATAGTAAGAGAAAACGACATGAATTCGTATACGAATTTTGGTTCAATGTGCAATGTAGTTTCCAAACATTTAATTTGTTCAATATGGTCCATGAACTTTAGGTACTTCCGTTAATATTGTATGCTTAAGGGATTGGATTAAACATACACCTAAAGTTCAGATATTATATTGAATACATTAAAAGTTCATGAATTACATTTCATAATAGACTAAAGTTCAGGGACCACATTGAATACATTAAAATATCAGGGACTATATTACATATTGTGCCAAAGTTTATGGACCATTTGTGTAATGAAGAATATTTTCCAAAAAATAATCGTTTGTATCATTTATAGAAATGAAGGAACGAAAAAAATTATCGGCCACGAAAATGTTTAGACACTCGATAATTTACTAATTATTTCAAATGATACAAGCAATCATTTTCATGTAACTCAGGAATAAGATTGAACATGTATCAAAAGTTCAGAAATCACATCGAACACATTAAGAGTTTAGGGACGGCATTACACATTCGGCTCACGGATCGCATTGAACAAATTAAGAGTTCAGATATTACATTGCACATTTGGCCAAAGTTTAGGTTTCCAAAAAATAATTGCTTGTATCATTTATAGAAATGAAGGAACGAAAAAAAAATCACCCACAAAAATGTTTAGATAATTTAAGAATGAAAATATTTTTCATTGATTAATTATTTTAAACGATGCAAGCGATCATTTTTAGGAAAATATTTTCAAAATCATTTATTTTTCGTAAAATAAACGCACCCTATATCAAAACTTCTAAACATAATGGAAGGAAATTCCAACCGGTGGACTAGAATTACAGGAAACTTGAACTGGCAAATAAAAAATAAGGAAAAATTACGCAAAATTCTCATAAACTTCGAAAGTAGTACACATTTACCTTTAAACTTTCAACTGTCACACATTACATTCATATACTCTCATTTTGTTATGGTCGGTTACGTAAATTGTTAAAATTTGATGAAAATAATAATAAAACTAATAAGATATTTTAAGAAGAAGAACCGGATTAAGTAAAATGGAAAAAAGCTTCAATAACAAAAAGGTCAAATTACAAAACTGGATACTCATTATGTATTTTTAAATGGTTAATTATTGCAAAATGAGTGATCAATAAAAAAATATTTTAAAATATCACAGTGGATTTTAATTAATCATTTCCTTTTATGAGTTGTGAACATAATTTATATTTATAATTTTTTGTACAGATTTTTGTTAGTCAACCATCTTTAAGTTAATTAACCCTTTAAATTTATATAATAAGTAATCAGTTTTTGTTATTTGACCTTTCTTTTAGGAGGGTATTTTCCCATTTTATTTAATTTATGCTTATCTCTTTCTTGAAATATCTTATTTGAACTTATTAAAGTGGCCATATGATCAAATTCTAACAAATTTTTCTCTCAATTTTTATAAATATTTGTTTTTTTACAGCAATTGAATGCAAAAGAGAAATTTCTTTTAAAAAATGAGATGAAAAAGAAATACTATTATCCCTTAAAAGTTATGTCTAATTCCCTAAAAAACCTCAAACTTTAAGGTTTGTCCCAAAAAATAATTCCCTAAAAGTTATATGCACCGTACTTGTTAACAGTCATCCCCATATGTGGAAATAGGAAATCTACTTTTCTGACTCATCTCCTTAATTACTAAATTTATTTGTAGGGAAAATGACACAAGTAATCCCCGAATTTTGCCTTAATGTGCAATGTGATCCCTAAACTTTTAATTTATTCAACGTGGTCTTTGAATTTTAACTAATGTGCAATGTGGTCCCTAAACTTTTACTTTGTTCAATGTTATTCTTGAACTTTTGGTACATGTTCAATTTATGCCATGGACTAAATAATCCGGAGACTAGATTGAATCTAGGGATATACTAATTCAAGAACTAAATTGAACATTTATAAAAAAATTTAGGGATCATATTGAATAAATTAAAAATTTAGGGATCGCATTCATATTTGGGCAAACTTCAAAGACCATTTGTGTAGTTATCCCTTATTTGTATTAGGAGTTCCGTTAGCACGAAACCGTCTGACCCTCTTGAAAGAAGTTGACCTCATGTTTTGATGGGCTGTGTTCGAGCAGATTGTTTTGATGGGATGTGTTAGGCCCGTAAGAAGAAGGATGAACAGATAACTCAGTTTTTCGATGCAGATTACCGCTAAATTTCGAGCATTTTTCGGCACCGTTTCTGCCTTTATGAACTCAAGAATGAATAACATTAAGGTGGAGAAAGAACTTTGGCCATTAATCATAGGACTGTTTCGGCATCGCCATTGTCTCATACTCAGATGTCTGCTGAAAGATCATATTAAGTATTTTTCACATGGATATAATCCTGGACAGACTTTTTCCTTGTTATTCAGAAGTGGCCGATTGGATCGATACGCCGCACCGATGAGAAATCACTAGTCGTTCATCATGCAGAGAAGTCGGCAAGAGCTTCACAGACAAGTAAAATGGATGAAGCGTTGCCTTTCTTTAAGGGCATCGAGACCGTGAAATTATAGCGTTTTAAGCGCGTATACAACATGAATTGGAACATCGCGTGCCCGAAATGCACGGGAGGATTGTCACAACATCCCTATACAACACTTCTCATGCCTATTGTTCTGTTTTCGTTTTCTTGTCACTTCTCTTTCTTCTATTGGATAGAACATGTATCAGTCTCTATTCACAGAAAAGAATGAACGAAGCAAGAATGTCATATGACTAAGAAAATGGATCGACCGATGTGCCTCACTGAAATAGGGGAGGACTTCTTTACCCGCCGCGAGCGAGTTCACTGTTGTTCCATGGCTGGTGTTGCCTGTGATGTCACCGAGCTTAGTCCACTAGCGGTTCGAGGGGAGAAAAGCGGTCTAGAAGGATCCAGGCTTCGAGGAGACAAGTTCACTTCCTCTAGAGCTCGGAACTGGAGCTCCGGAGGATAGTTCCTCACGCAGCCAATGCGTGGCCCGGCTCCTGTAGTCCATTTGCAGGACAACTGCTTTCCCAATTGCAGCGACTTCGGTCTGTTATGTGAAGGCCTTTCTACGACTTTCTCTACTTGAACTGATATTGCTAAACTCTCTGCCCCTTCAGCATGAAGGATAGGCTCTGGGACGATGCAATCTGGTGCCGAAGCATGTACTTCTTCCTCTGCTTCCTGACCTTTGACTTTGGATCTCTGCAAGAAAGTGTCTTGACAGGATCCATCCGGCAGGTCACCGTTCCCTTGTCTTCCGGACAGTTTGCCATCCGCTGATATTTCATCATCAGTCAGCTTTTTCCAGAAGTTACCAAACTGCCTTGATTTGGAGGTGGCAACAGTCTCTTCCTCCATCAAATCCTGAGTCAAGTTTTGGACATCTATCTTGTCGGTCCCTGACACTTGCACACTTTGCATTATTTCCTGCCCGGATGAATGGTTCCTTACGTGCACGCTGCTCCTTTGCTGGCTAGTACAGCTTTCTTCATCATCCACTGGACTCATCTGAGGCAATTGAGAAAAATTTGTTCACATGAAGTGTGATCCACATTTACAGTGGATGAAAAACAAAACAAAATCACTTGCAAAAACGATCTTCAATTCTACCTTCACGTTTGTGATATCCACATCATTCTCTTTGAGAAACAAAATGAACTCATCAAAGTTCTCTTGTGTAGGACGATAGTGGCCACTATGAGGCCAAACTGCCTGTCAAGAGAAAAGTGGAAATGACCAATAAGAATACGTGCCTGTTAGATTAATCGAAAAGTGAAAATTCTCTAAGGTAATGCCACTTGACTTTGCATTCCCCCATACCTTCAAGGTTCCATTTTCAACAACTAATCTCCCTGCAGCAGAAGTGGCGCCTCCAGCCAGGAAGCTGGAATGCTGGAATTCGCCCTTCTTCTTTTTACCGACATACAGTGTCTTAGATGTGCTGAGTACAAAAATCCACTTGGTGTCCGTGGGTCCATCAACTGTGTGGAGGAGGTTCCCGGTTTGCCTGTAAAGGAACTTTCCGTCCTCGACCATAACTTCATGTGCCTTCCTTTCGTTCTGTATTAAGAAAAGGTTATTTGAGAAAGAGAATAGCCAATAAAAGTACCGGCACTGTCACAAAAAAGAGAGAGATGCCCCACCGGACCGAGATACTTGATGCACTGTTGCTGAAGTTTGGATCTTGGGCACTTATCAACGAGATTGACCTCCTTCCCTTCGCCTATGTCCAACCTGGAAATTTTAAGGTAGATAGTTCCCGTGAGTACAAATTGCCAAACTTCAAAAACAGAAAAGACAAGGCACGAAAATTGTCTTGTTAGCTCAATACCAGTAAAAGAAGGGTTCTCTACTTTGACAATCCAACCATTTAACGTAGTAAAAGTGAAGGCTATGTCCATAACGATGACGTGGATCAATCTGTATTCCACAACAAGAAAGGATTGAAATCAGTGACAGACATGGGAGAGGAGAGAACAATAATTTCATCTTGTGAAGGACTTACAGCTTCTAGCCAGTGTTGCAATGCAAGTTTCTGAGCTCTATCGTTCTTCAGTAAGCCTTTGCCGACCTATGAAAGAAGGCTGGTTAGAATAGGAGCAATAACTTGTATAATTAGGAGGCCGTGAATGAATCTACTATGCATTTACCTTAGCAGCTTTAGTTCTTGCTCTTGACCAACGGGAAATGGCGGTTTCGTTCTTCTCCAATTCGAAGAAAGATATAGAGCTCCGCTTCAGTTCAGCAAAATCTAAGAGCTTCCACCTGTGATAAACAAAGAAAGACATCAGTAAAACTCAGATGCTTGGTCATTGTGCGACAATTATCACGAGCCAAAAAATAAATATACCAGCTCTGCTCCACAAGCACCGCACAATCTGCTAGCTTTCGTCTTGTCCGAAAGCTTTTATAAACTTTCTGCAGTTTCACGGCGGCCTCATGTTTTGGGCTGTCGGGATCAACAGGAGGCAATTCTTGAGATACCCACATGGAACTATTCAACTTTTGGGATTCGTTGACCATTTCTTTGGCATTTTCCATTGCAAAAGTGACATCCTTCTTTTCATTTGAGAGAGGAGCCCCAATTGAGATAACGGTTCGCGACTCCCTTCTTTTGAAACTAATAGATCCCTCAACTATTGTCTCTCCAGATCCCAGGGATTTCACGATGGTGGGTTCGCAGTCTCGACCATTGAAACTGATGGATCTCACTGGGGTTTTCTCATGGTCTTTTCCAAAACTTACGGATTTCACAATGACTGATTCGAATTGATTCTCCAAGTCGCTGTAGTCCGAGAACGGACACGAGGAAGAGATTCCCATTTGAAAAAACGAGGGATTTTTTGGCAGCCTGTCTGATTCAGAAGCAGTCTGTTGAACAAACCAGCAATCAGCACAAAAACACTAGAAACTCAGTTACAAAGAACTATACAGAAAACATGAGAAACAAATTGGTAAAGGGTGCCATTTCAACACCATCTCCGGCTCATATTCAGCTAACATAGAGCAGATTGAGCCACCTAGCATGAGCTTGTCACATTCCAGGGTAATTCAATCTGATACTTGTGCATACCATCTACACTACAAAAGGTTACAGATCTGCAGAACTAATCCTATAATAAAGACAAACCTTGAAAAGATACAATTTCTCAGGATATAATCTTCATTGTCTCCAAGAACAGAAAAGAAGAACCAAAAACAACTGAGAAACGACCACGAATCCAGGTACCAGCTGTGGATCTAGAGACACGCAATGGACACATCATTTTCACAAAGATCACCACCGTTTCCCAATTTGAAACAGGCAACGGAGAGAGACCCACATTAGCAACAACCATTCAGAACCCAGAACCCCATACCCACACTATCAAAACCTTTCCTCTCCGCTAAAAGAAACAAACACCATCCAAACAAACGCCTCAAAGGAACAACTTCAACTTAATATGCAAAGAAAAATATTGAAAAAATACACCCCAAATGAAAAAAAAAAACAAAACCAGGAAGGAGAAAGACGCATTACCTCGACAAAAGAACCGGCGAGCCAAGAAACGAATGTGGTATCGGAAACAAAGGCCAGAGAAGATGGGAATTTTTTTCTTCTGGCGAGTCCTTTTCTTGGAGGGGGTTAGATGTGTTCTTGGTAGTTACGGATAATAATGCTGCACTCAAAGCTATAGCTACTTCGAAAAGCCTTGAGAGGGGGGTTGAACGCCTTAAACTACAACTGCTGACTGACTGTCCAGTCCTCGGCCTCGCTAGTTGTCACTCCCCCCTCCCGTTTATATAAGAAAGGGGACAGAAGACAGAGGAGACCATTTCATTATTCCATTTTGAAATTCATTTACTTCCAGCAGAGTTCGTCTTCTTCCCTTTTTTTCTCACCCCACGTGGATTGGACGGCATCAGCTCAACTCAGCGTAATTCAGGAGGCCGTGTCTGGAAAGGGTTCGACCAATATGTTCTGTTTTCTGTGTTCTGTTTTGCTAATTAATGAAAGCTTAAAGAAAACAGAAATTATTTCTGTCTTCTGTTAATCTGTTTCCATCTTCCATTTGCATTAAGAGGTGCTCTCGGACACTCGTTAAGCGTCTTTAATCTCGAATACTTCACTTTCCATAGTAATAGCTATCCAAAATACGATAATAGCCGATGCATTGGTGACCGTAAAAACCTCTTTAATTAAATGTTTAACCCATATTTTCAAAAGGGTTTGCTTCGTCTCAGTTACCTTATCCACCGAGATCTTTAGATACTCTTAAAGTACTGTTTCCTCAATAGCAAGTAGAGGGAGAAGCAATATCACGTTTCATAGTAATTGAGAAAATTTGTAGAGTGGACAAGTTGTCGTGGACCGACGGTACCTAAAATCTCCTACAAAACATCTCAAACGATTCATCTGTAAACTCCTGTGACGAAATGGTGGTGTACTTCTCTTGTTCGTGTTTTCTTTGAATATTCATTTGGGTCACCGAATCTATGAACGTTTACCAATTCCACGCCCTTGACGAAGAAGCAACTGAGAAAATGTTTCATCTCTCTGAAGAGTCATCTTCAATCTTATGTCAACATCATTACTAATCTCTCTAAAGTCCAAAGAAGAACGAGATTGACTAGTTCACAACCACCAAAAGCATAGAGCATACGCTTGAAATCTGAATCTTTTCATGCGAGCTTTGCACAGCCGTTTGATTACGAAGGCTCCCCACAAATATATATACATATATATTCTAGTTTTATGAAGAAGAAAAGTTGAACCAAAATAGGGTTCCTTGCATCGAATTTCACGCCTTGGAAATTCGTGATTCTTGGGAGTGGAAATCGGGTCGGTCAGCCATTTTGAGGACTTGGAAATGCTCGAAAAGGTTTGTAGAAATTCTGGGGGGGAAGCTTCAGTGCGTTCTTCGAGGGGATGACACGGTGACCCTACGAGTTTGACTTGGAAAGTGATCGATGAGCTTGATAAAAGATGCAAAAGTTCCCCGTAAAGTCTACACCTTTCAGCACACTCTCTCTTTTTTTAATCATTCATGCAGGAAACGTTCGAGGTCATAGACGTGCGCGTGATCCTGTTCATGAAGCATTAGATTGGGTAAAGACTAACGTATAGATTCAAGATCACGCCAAAGGAAGCAAGTTCTTCCAAGGACTTTTCGTGAAAAATTAATTGGTCGATCGAGGTCCTCCGATTAATCCCTTTTTAATGACCGGTGTATCGGCAATTATATGAAAAGGTTCGGTCGAAGACATGGTCACCGGAACAATCCGATTTTTATCAAGAGTGTTCTCGCGGTTTCGGAGACGTCATACTCCAAATCCAAAGAGCAATGTTATGTATGCTTACACAGTTACACTGGCTTACAGGATGTATACTAAATGATGCAGCGGACTATAAGTGATAAATTAAACGAGTGAGTAATGTTCAACCTCAATAACAGCCTATCACATTACTTTGTACATGGACTTTCTAAACTAGTTTTAATGTGCCTAGCATTTCTCAAACCCAAATTTCCTATATTATCATTTAAGCAGTTTCCTATATTATCATTTAGGCGGTTTTCTATATTACCAAGTAAGGCGGTTTCCTATATTACCATTCGGCGTTTCTTTAATTATTCGGTTTCCATTAGTATTAGGAGTCCTATCTCTATATATAAGATGTCCGTCTTGTAATAAAAACACACAGTATTATAGAATAAAAATTTCGAGTTCTTTTGAGTTGTTCCAAATTTACGCTTCTATCTGCGTCAATTTCTCAAACCCAAATTTCTCTCTCGTTGTCCATCTAGTTCCACGCCGAAAGACGAGAAGACGACCACCACGGAGGCTACCCACGTCATGCGACCATAATCGTCATAGATAGGAGTGAGCATGGTCTGGATGGGCAGTTCCCACCATAGAACCGAGAATCGTCCATTAATGACCGGTTCCGAAAAATTGGAATTGGGAATCGTCTGTTAGTTCCATGGATCCACTCGGGATTCGAACCGACCCATGGAACCGGTCTCATCAAACTTCACACAAATAGAGGTGACCAAGTGCGAGAGAGGGAGGCAATGAACGGCCGAAGGCGCAGCCGTGAGTTGATGGGAGTCGAGAGTCAAGGCAGTGAGTCGATAGGCGTTGAGCTTAAGAGTCGAAATTACGAGTGAAAGATAGGGAGACGACTCAGACAATGTGAGAATGAGATGAGACGAGCACTCAGTTGATGGGCGTTGAGCTTCAAATTATGGATTTAAGGTTTTCATTTTTCTTAATTTTTTTCTTTTTTTGTTGGAAATTTTTTAAAAGAAAATTATATATATTACTAGTCTAGTTCAGGTGGGCAAGCGGGCGGTTCCACGCCTAGAACCGGGAACCGGACCGGTACTCTCCGATTCTAGTAAATTGGAATTGGAAACCTCCGATTCCGGTCCGGTCCGATCCAGTTCCGAGTGGTCCGGGCGGTTCCCGGTTCCTTTGCACACCCTTAATTGTAGAATGTGCACGACCCTTCACACCCGCGCGCTCACAAAGTGTTCCAACGGGACTTTCAAGCAACTAAATAAAAAAAAGATTGTCATTTTTAACGCCAATTTTTTCTCGTGGTATTTGTAAAAAAATTGAGTATTTCATCTTTTGGTATGCTTAACGTGCCAATTCCAATAATTATGAAAACCCATATGAGATACGGAGGAATAGGCTATTGTTTATTTCAAATCAATGCTCCCGACACTTATTGACATGACTTACGTAATATCATAAGAAGCACAAGTGCAAATTCGCTTGTGTATAATTGATGATTATCTTACTTCTTCCACCCACTTCAGGCGACCGATACTAAATGGAGAGGAGACAAGATCTACCAGCCTATCTAATTATCATGTCGATGGATCATCAAAAAGCATTGCACTTTTAAGTCTTCTAATTACCAGATCAATTTGACAATAAAGTCGACCGTCGTCGATATATCTAAAGTCGATCTGGTCAAAGGTTAAATTTTTTTCTTTATCAGGGGGGAAAAATTCTTGAAAACTAGTGATTATCTTTTGCAAGATTAATACCACTGAATATCTCGAATTGGTACATCCGTGATAAATTTACAAAAAACTAATTTTTTGACCGCGAAAAATCTCAAACCGGTACACCTGTGACAAATTTACTATCCGTAAAATTAGATTAATACCACAAAAAATTACAAATTGGTAAACCTGTGACTAACGAAGGGGTAAAATTCCAAAATGGTACACTCGCCAACTGTTATGTATCATCTAACTCAGTAATTTGGCAGTAAAATTTAACGAAAACTAACAGAGGGTAAATTTGTTACAGGTTTACCAGTTTTGGGTTTTTTGTAATCAAAAAATTATTCTAGAGTAAATTTGTCACAAGTGAACCAGTTTGGGATTTTTCATTGTTTTAACCCTTTGTTTAATTCCCTCAAATTGAAACAAAAATCTTGTATCATCGAAAATCTTCCAGGAAATAAATAAACTAATTGAACGTGCTTCACTTTCGGCCCTTTGAACAGATTTTGGTCTCAAAATTCACGAATTCTAACATGAAACCCGTGAAAGAATATTCAAATGCAAAAGCAAGAACGCTTTTGCTGCCCCTTATATCCAAGTCTAACGTGAAAAAGCTGCCGAAAGTATCATGAAAAAACATACAAAAATAAATTTTAAAAATTTAAAAAGGAATGCCGGTGCTAGAGAATCTTCTCGCCGAAAGAATGTAATCTCAAAGGGACGATTTTTAGTATAATGTTTCGCATAAATTGACTACGTACTAAATAAAATATTACGCGTCCACATTAATTTTGTCGAATAGGGCTCGTTGCTTTACAACTCAGGGATTGTTCATTCAGGCAAAGATGACGTGCATGTTTTGTGTTTTTGAAGTACCCATTTTTGCCAATTTTGGTTTATATATGCACCATCCTATGATATGACTTACCCTGTAAAGTGCATCCCATCGCATTGCAACACACAAATTCAAAAAGGGTGTGTGTGGGAAAAGTCGTATTTCGTACTAAGGCACATATATCACGTGACAAACGAAATTGCAAGGGTGTTAGCCGAATAATTTGTATCTATCATGAATTACCTCGTGACACTTTTTCCTGTGTTTTTTATGTACTCATTTTGCCAATTTTGGTTTATACACACCATCCTATAATCTGACTACTCTGTAAAGTGCATGCCATCGCATTGTAACCCGAAAATTTGAAAAGGGTGCGCGTCGGAAAGTCGCATTTCATATTAAGATATGTACTGCGTAACGAAAGAAACTGAAACGATTTGAGCTGAATAATTTGTATCTATGGTGACACACCGCTCATGTGTTTGGACGGAGTTCGATTGCTAGAGATAGGACATGAACGGCAGTCAAAGGGTGCGCTGGCGGTGGCTATCTCCTCGTTGAAATTTGAGGACCCTCGACTTATCTTGCTCCGTCTCGATTTAAGCGTACGGTATTGTTGGGTTAGGAATGGATAACATCCACCGCTCAAAAAATTGTCTTACAATGAAATAAAAAAGTCTTGGATCTACAAAATTGTTAGGTAGATATAACTTTTAAAATTCGGATTAGGTTATTTGGGATATCATATCATATAAGTGGTCCAAAGTAGGTGTTCGCAAGTGCATATGTCTCTTGTTCCTCTTGCATTTCTGTTCGCGGTTATGCTCTTAGTTATTGTTATTTTATATGATAGTCAACGGTAGTTCCAAACTAAGGTTTTCGCGGGTTTTCATATATGTTTGAGTATATTAGACTCGTCGATAGA